CAATTTCGTTTTTATTTTGCGAGAAAGTAAATACCATTTAGTGGAATATTCATTTTTGAAGTTTACTACTACAAATATTGGGTAAGATAAAAAGATATTACCATTGCATATAAGATTTTCACCTACTTTGTTTTATGTTAATCTACTAAAGGTAAATTCATTTTGGATTTGTTTTGTTTTATTTGAAACTCTGTTTGACTTAATAGGAACACAATATTCTAACTTTTATAAGCAAAGATATAGATGAAATTAAATATAAAGTTCTTAATTTAAAATATATTATTATCAATCAATCTTTCATTATATGTTTTTTTTCTTTAATTCATCGATTTGTGATTTTATCCAGGGAGGTAAGACTGCCTTCTATTTAACTTTTATTATATCCTGAGCATCAAGCAAAGCAGCCTAAATTCCTCCTTTTAGATGTACAAGACGTTTAATTCGTTACTTAAGTAAATAATCCATAATTTCTTTTACATTCTGCTTATCAGTATCGCATATCACAACTATATAATAAATGCTTTGTTCTTCAACCAGTCCTCTCAGTTCGAAGTAGTTTAGTAATTGAATATTATTTATTTTTTTTTTATCATAGTATGCAAACAAGGAACCAGTTATGCAAGCCTATTCATAATCCTTAGCACTTCTCATATCCAAAGATAAGACATTGAAGGATTATTTTTGTTCCCTCAACAATTATTGGAAATCATGAATGGAAATAGAAAATGTCTATTGCTCTTATAATTACTTAAATGTTAATGGATGTTCCCATGGTCTTTCTTATAAGTACTCGTTTTCCTCCTTCATTTAATTGCAAATCTCTTCATCCTGATGAGTGAGAATGAAAAACGTTTTATGCAATTAAGTTGAAAATTTGAGGGAATTCTACAAGCAATTATCCAATTGTATATTATTCTAAAGATTCTTGAGACAACTGAGCATGCCTTCACTATCTTTAATTTCAAAGGTTGATTTGAGTTCCAACATAATTTAACATGCTAACAGGATTTCGAATGATTCATCAGAAATTAAGAAATAATCATAAATTTTCATTACATTCTCTAAGTTGAATTCTCTGGCATAAAAAGTACTAAACCAAGAGACAATATGAGTCTCACACTTGAAGTCAGTTTCCTTTAGATGATTGCTTAATCCTGGATCAAAATACTAGAGAGTCCAATTGTAAAGTAAGATCTTTTCCTATAATTTTTATCCGAAATACTCACTAATTTCCACTTACTCTTCTTCTGGTGGTAAATTGACAATCCTTTTCTTGTAGATCTCATTCAAACATATTGTACTGAGTTCGGAATCATAATTAAAGGCTTCTAAGAGGATATAAGAAATGGAATCCATCCCTTATATATAACAATTTGAAACAGACTAATTGATAAATCCTCTTATTGTACTTCTTATTGCATCCTGAGTTCTTTTATTGTATTTTTGTCTGTTCAAGTCTTTTTCAAGTTGAATGATATCCTTCTATTTTTAAGCATTCAAATATTCACATAATTCAAGTGTCAATTATACAATTTATCGTTAGGCTTCCAAGGATTCAAAACCAAGTGCTCTTGGCCAAAATGCCTTTCTTATGTTTTACCAAATTAAACCAGACCCTCCCATAAAATGAATTACCTTAGAAATGAAGGCTTAAAAGGCTTTCTCAGAGGCCTAGGATATCAATTTTAACAATAAAACCTAAGCCATATAGGTTGGTTCCTAAGGGGCGAGTACCTATTCTTACATGTCTTCACTTTTCTATTCTTGTTTTTTAAACCATTTTCTGAATAAAAATTATTGTTTCTTAGGTTAGACCACTTGATTTTCCTCTTATTACTAAGGATTGGCTATTTTGGTAAGAGTAGCAATCAACTCTTCAAGGGTGCAATTATTGGGGCAATTCTAAATGATTTAAGTGATCTAACTGTTAATTTCAGATTTCAATTCACCGATTGGATAAATACCCTCCTTGAGATCACTAATGTAAATTATTTCTTCCATAGAAAAAAATTGATCTGCCCAATCCAGGTTGAAAAATTTATTCTTGACAAATTGGAAAAATACTGCCAAAGACATTTGATTTGAAAGTTTAGGCTGGATTTCCACTTACTTGTGTTCATAGAATAAAGGATTTTGAAGTAATTCTTTAATCGAACTCCTTTCATCTTCTTCTCTTAACATCTATTGGATGAGGTCTCTCAAAGACCAACTATATTTAGAGTTCTTAAGAATCTCCTAATAATTATTGGTGTTATCCTTTTTGAATTCAAAATAGATGCATTGTAATAGTATGATTCCTAAGGAAAAGACAGATGCCTTAGGAGCATTAATCTCTTAACTGAGATGTTTATTGAAATCGTCACAATCATTGAGTTCGATGTCCAGATATTTATATAGTTCTGGGGCTAAGTATAATTTGTCTTCGGATTCCAGAAATTATCTTTGGTTTTGGTGGACCATTTACTCCATGTAGTTGATGATCTTCCATTTCTTGATTATGTAGGAGGGACTCAAATACAAGATATTGATATTCGATAAGCCATTAAGTATTGCATATGCCAAATGAACGATCTCATCTTCGTTCATTGGGGCATTATTCTGGTGTCTTAATTTAATGTAATCCATAAGGGTTTCTGGGTGTGTTTCACTTATAAATGTTATAGTTTCATTTTCTGTAGAAAGGACATAGTATTTGCTTAGATATTGTGAGTTCGGTGGGTTTGAGATGATGGCCACTAGATTTTGCATATAATCCTCGAATTGTTGTATGTTATTGGTATTTTAGCATTGATCGAATTGGTCTTCTTCATAGTAGGAGGAATTGAGTTGTTGGACTTGTCTGACGATCTTATTGGTATAACACTAAATGTATTATTCAGATTGATTTCTTTCACTTGGATTAGAGAAGGATTTCAGACTAGGAGTTTTTAGCATTAATGAATAAATATTTTAGTTTATAATTATATAATTTAGTTGAAATTTATTCACATTATTAGACAGGCTTGTGACCTTGAATTAATTAGGAGTTTTTTATTATGCTATCAAATTATTAGATTTAATTACTACAATGTTAGTATTGGTGAGAAGAAGTTCGTAATTTTGGTTAGAGTTGCAAAAGCGATTGTCTTGGAATTGGCAACTATTTATATTGACCTTGAATCCTATTTAATAAATTCAGGCTTACTTTTATCATTGGGTTCTCCTTGATGGGAGAGATTCAAGGCATTACAATTGGAGAAGAAGGCACTCTTTGAAATTTGAAGGTTGATGGGATTAAATAATAAATTGCTGCTGAGGAAAATGCCATGTATACGATTGGAACTGATAGTGGAGTTTTTAATTGTAATGATGAATGGGTTGACAGCATTTTGATCTGGCATTTTGGAAGTGCTGATGTCGATGTCCATTCCAATAGTGTTGTCTTGAATATTGATTTCATCTATTTCCATGCAGACCACTTCTCGTATGATTATGGCTGTTTGTTCCATGCTAGACATTACATTCTGTTTGAGTGAGATTGGTTTGATCAGCTGTACTAATTAACAGATTTCAACCACATTGGACATAAATAGGCCAATTCGGCATTTAGTGATTGTATTCTTAAAGAGTTGTAATCTGTCCACTACGATGTTGTTCATTCTTATTGCATAATCGGTAGATCGGAAAAAGACATTCTTTTCTATTACTATTGATTTATTCTAGATATTTTCAATAGAAATCGAAGTTTATTGATTTTTAAACTCGTTGTCTATAATTCTGACTTCCACATTCCTACTATTTGTTATGATGACTGAACTGCCTTCGATGATTGAATTTATAATTTCTATCTAAAATTCTCTCAGATTGTTCGCATGAATCAAAACTGACTGTTGTTGTTGACAATCACTCTGTATTATGGAATGATTTATACTCAATATTGTCCCATTGCCCTCACAAGCAAACAACACCTAGAATCCATTAAATTTTGTGTCATTTATGATTAAGGAGTTATCAAATTGGATAAACGTCCCTTTATTTTGGAAGTTCTCAACACTGCATGCCATAATCATCATGTTTCTGCAATGCACTTTGATGCAAGGTGACATTTGCTAAACTTCTATTTGAAATCCTTGAATACTACATTCCTCATCAAAAATAGAATCTATTGACATCCCCTCAAACAACAAACTCCCTCCCTTAAATTGAATCACAGAATCAATCCCAACCAATTTCAACACCTAAGAAATTACCACCTCCCTGTTTATTATTATTTTCTTCCTCTTTACTTCCACTCTCTCAGATATCAGCAATTATTGGAATGCATCCCAATCCATCTCCTCATATGTCGGAGTATCTACGGTTTGATTGGTTGAACTTAACGATCCCCTTCTATATTCATTAAGTATATCATTTTCATTCATTTTATAATATAATGAATATCAATCACCAAATCAATTTCTACTTTGCAAATCGCCAATACACTCTTGTCTGGCAAGATCTCGATCAAAATATCCTAAATGAAGTCGTCTTCTTCGTTTTAAATGACATCTCCTCAAAAAATAAATTGAATAACCTAACATTCACCGATTCCAATCTTTCACCCATCCAATAATCACTTGCACTCTTCCTCCAATCACAACATATCTTCATCAATAACACCCCTCCCATCACCCAGGTTCAAGAGTGCGAATTTTAGAATCTCTATGAGATCCTTCCCAATCAACTTCTAATCCAGAAATTTAAGAACAAGCGCAAATTAGAAAGTGTAAACTATCAGATGCAAACAATCCTTAACCTCAATCAACAATTCAGAGAAACTAGCTCAAACATCAAGGACAATAATAACATGATCAACCAAAAATAAAGTATCGAAAGAAGTGCCAACACCTATCCAATCACCAAAATATAATCTTCAAACACGCAGCCATTGAATAAGCGTCAAACAGAATTAAAATCCTACACCATCGAAGAAGTAAAACTCCCTATTATTTTCAAGGTTTAGCAGCACAATACCCAAAAAGATGCATGGATTGTGCTACAGGATAATATCTACGACGTGTCCTATTATATTGAAAAACATCCTGGTGGCAGAGAATAAATTCTAAGAGGAGTTGGGAAAGATGCCACTTTCCTCTTTCTCTAGCATCACCCCTGGGTTAACTTTCATTATATTCTTGAAAAATTTTAAGTTGGTTATTTAGTAAGATGAGTATTTATACTAAAAAATATATAGATTATAATTATCAATTCCATATATTATTAAACACATTAAATCTAATATTTAATATGAAAACCTATTCAAAATGATCGTTTATTTTAATTAACAGAACCTTAAGAAATGAATTACATATTCAGATTTCACTATTTTTTATCACCTTTTGATAATTGAAAGAGAAAGTAAATTGATGTTATTAATCCAAAGGGACTTATTGGTTATTAATAGCATATTTTATATCCGATTGTTATTTATTCTATTTAATATTTAATCTATCCTTTCTAAAGTATTTAATCAACTTCTTTAGAAATTTCATATTTATTTTTTAGAATGGATTTGCAATATAACTTTGACAGAATAATAATGTTGATTCCTTGTTATTTGAATTCAAGAGAGTTAGAATTTCAATAATATACGAGCCTGCTTTATTGCCACATCTTGAAACATTATATTATAGGTTTTATAATGTCAAAAGATGCTAAAATTGAGAAATGTTGTAATCATAATGAAAAAGTTGAATATTCTTTGCCATTCTTATTAATAACATGAAATCATACTTAAGATTGCTGGATATGATTATCATTATAATAGAGAATACAAATGAAACCAATTTAAATAATAAGCTATTTACTGGCAATTATTAGAGAAATTATAACAGTATATAGAAGAAAGTTCTGATAATATATAAATTAATAGTTCCTAAACGAGTCATTACTTATCTTAACTTTAAATTAAATATCCCACTCAATAATAATTTGTATCAATTATATTTCCTTATATTAATAAATAAGGACAAAACCAAATAGATGGTATCATATATATTGATCAACCATAATTCTACAAATTATAACGACTTAAATTATCAATTAAGTCAACTTGTTCTTTCTTCATAGATTGTTTTATTAAATTTTAAATAAATCAAAAAAGAAAATCTAAATTTAATTTAAAGTAAATTCTTGATTTCTTTGAGTAATCGGAAATAAAAAATAGCCAAATCCCATCTATTAATTTGATTTCTGCTTCTGACTCTTGTCTCAATTACAATATTTAATTAATATATATTTTTAAAGTTTTTTAATGTCAAATTGAACTAGAATTAAACAATTAGAATCAGCTAAATAATTATAAAGACAATTTAACTAACAACAAGAGCGTTAACTAATTTTACCTTGACACACTTCTGGATCCTTGTGAAAGACATCGTGTTCTTGATTTATAAATATAGTATTCATAAATGAGATGCAGGTAGTTTATAGTTTCCTATCAATTAGGATAGACAAATTAGAAATAGAATTAAAGTGAAAATATTTTTATTATTTAGAATAACAAATTTTACTTAATTTTATATATATATTATTTAGTATTCATTATAGCATTCATAGGATTAATATTTAATTTTCTGTTAAGTAGTGGGTCTGAAAGCAGGGATTGTAATTAAATGGATATGAAAATTGGGGGTTTGGATTGATGAGCATCGATCCAAGTATGCTAGTTCTGATGGAGTTGTTGATGACAACTAAACTATAAGTCCATTTATAATATGTGTATAAATATTATATTAAATATGATATTGGCTATTTTATACAGTAGCATTTGGTTGTGCAATACAATTTACGAAATGATGCTGGGAATTGAGTACAATATTTATATTATAGAGACAGCTCTTGTATCACGGTATCTAGTTGGGGATTGTTCTGTGTTTCCTCATGTTGCAATATCTATAGAAATCGAGGCAATCTATCAGCTACATGATCCCAATTCTTCTATTATGCCTGAACATTTTAAGTAACCATTAAATTTAAAGTAGATGTCAACGAAGACATGAATAGCGAAAAACTATATTTATTCCTGCTGCCACCCTTAATATATGACCATTTAAATAAGGATGAAAAAAAGAAACTTTATTTTATCATTTTCAAATTTCTGCATCTCCTCACTATGTGCATTTGGAAAGCGTTAGGCGATCTGAACAGGGGTTAACCAATAATAATAACATTTATATTATTATTGTTCACATACTATCTCTAAAAATAATATGATCAACAACTCAAACGAACTGAAGGAGGCTTGGAAGACACCATAAATATAAAGACTATCACAGACACAGATCGAATCTGGGACTCATAAAATTATTTGATAAGTATAATCAAATTGGATGGTAAATTAAATTTGCTGACAAGCAATAACAGAGCATAAGACCTGTTGAAACACATCAATTTACAGGAACTCTTGAATAGCCCTTTATTATCAGTGGATAAACAGACCAGATTATTAATGCAGGAGCAATTCAGTTGTAGATTCCCATCGATTCAGGATTTGAAAGAGGTTCAACAACATTATTCCTTAAATGAATTGTTGGAACAACTCCAGTAACTCCAAAAGTACCCTTACGAATTCGAAGTGTTCAGCATTCGAGGTTATAACGATCTCCACTTAAAAGTGTTTTACCTAGAGCCAAAGTCATTTACAATAGTGCTGCAAAATATGGAAGAATACAATCTACAAATTAAGAAAGTGTTTACTCAAACTACGATGCAACAATTGTTTAAGAGTTTTAGCCATGAGTACAACACTTCTTTAAACTATATCTTGGCATTAGCATAGGTAGCTGAGTGTCATGAGGAAGTGCCACAAAATATCAAAGAGTAATTCTTTAAACCCATATTGGTGAATGGGAAAGTGATGCACAGCATGGTGTTGGATATGATGGATTACAATAGTATCTTGGGAAAGACATTCAGTTTGCAAGTGGCAGTCTTCAACATCTAAGAGTTAATACTAGATGTCATTTCACTTTTTAAAGATCAAGTCTCAAAAAAGAATCTAGAAATCAAAATTGACTTTAAATCCAAGATAACCTAGATCCTGTCTGATCGAAATAGAATCAAGCAGATTTTGATCAATTTGGTATCCAATGCCCAAAAGTTTACACTCTAAGGATCCATATCCCTAAAGGTTGAAACCTGTTTATTTCAGAAGAATTAACAATATGTAGTGTTCCATGTTGAAGATACTGGCATAGGTATGACAAAGGCAGAATAAGATCGATTGACCTTCCTATTGCAATAAGGAGTGCCTTCCATACAAAAGATATCTAAAAACACAGCTGGATTTGGATTGGGGTTGTTTATAAGTAATAAGATAGCAGAAGCCTTATCATAATAGAGATTTGAAAAAGGAGGTGGACTCAGATTTGAAACGCAAACAGGAAAGGGATTTCACTGTTGGTTTTCTGTGTACCCTCAGACCGTTAGTCCAGGTGTTAAACCCAACAATCCAAAAAGTCCATTGATTATGTTGAATAAGAAGATCATTATAGACACGAGGTAAACTGAAGTCAATGCTGGGATTGAGACATTGAAAAGAGGACTTATGAGGGCCAAATTCTCTCATTTATTGGGTAGTAATGGGTAGATAAATGATGGAAATCAGATCAGATAGCGAAGACCACATAGTTAGATACGGTTTGTGTAAGAACTTATTGATGCTGTGTCAACAGATACGGTCAATAATGAATGTTCTGTAGAGGACTATTAAACAAGGGTTAAATACATGAAGTCTCAACAATATTAGCAACAATAACAATCATTTTTGTTGAGAAGCAATTAGTCATTCATTGAATGTCGTTGTCCGAATATCCTCATTGTAGATGACGAGTAGATTAATATATTAGCCTTGTCGATCTTGTTGGAACAACTTGGCTTGACTACTGACTAGGTGTTTAATGGGAGGGAGTGTGTCGATTTGATATACTCGAAATAAAGGAAAAGTATTTATGAACATGTATTGTTAGCCTTTTGTGGGAAATGCACTGATAGACAGTACTAATTGATATTTATGGACATCAATATGCCTATTCTGGATGGGTGGGAAGCATCAAGGCAAATTAAAAAACGGTTTTCAATTCCCATTATAGCTTGTACTGCTTTTACTGACAATGAAACCAAAGAATAGTGTTATCAAAATGGGATAGATTACTATTTATCGAAGCCAGTAAAAAAGGAATCACTCATCCAAGTATTGCAATATTACCGTATACTTTGACTTAAAAAATCTTTTTATTTATATATATATATATAATATTATTAATGGAGTAGTGAAGTATTGTTTACAATTCAGAGTATTGTTTAGAATGTAGATAAAAAATGACGTAAATTTAATTTTAGTATTATATTAACAAATATTATTGTGTCATTCTAGTCTAAGTATTAAAATAGAAATCAAAAATAACAATATTTTATGTTCATTAACTGTGGGGAATTCTTAAGAAGAATTGATTAATTTGGAGCCAGTTATAAACCTAGTTATGCATACGGAGAAGTTCAATACAGAACATCTTTGGGAGGGTTGCTTTCAATTATCTTATATGGATTAAGTTTAGCATATTTGATATACGAGATTGTGTTGTGGAGATTCGGGAGAATACTTCCAAAGATTACATCTTTGAATACCGAAATCGAAACCTACGAATTATCATTTGATAAAGTACCTCTAGCATCTTTTTGTTTGAGAAGGCACAAGGATATCAAAGATTAAATTGACCCTTTTGATCCGAACCATATCGTTCTACTACCGATGCTATATGAATTAATCAATGACGAACTCCAAGATCCTTTGCCTTTATTTTCGACCAAGAAATCAGAAAAACATGGAACTACAATGATAGAGCTCAAAGATGTAAAATTGACCAATAACCAACATGAATCATTGGAACATCCAGATAGGGAGTATATGCTTATTTTACAGTAATGCGTTTAAAGTATACTGCCTCAAGGATTGTACTGTGCAGATGTAGATACGATTAAGAGATTCTTCAATTAAAAGTAGAACCAATTGTCTGTGCAGACTTATGTCAATCAATTTAACACCTCAACGAAATAACTGGATGTAGTTGAGCAATATTATTATGCCTCAATTGACAACAAGACCACTTATTTCAGTCAAATAACTATCTGTACATCAAACGTTTCTGTTGATACTGGATTCTTATTAGAAAGTCTGGAAATTATGGATTTCCCTAGTTCAGCCTAGTAATATATTCAGTAGATGGATTTAGATTATTTTACTCACACCTTTCATCAGGATGTTTATGTTGTATTCGAGTTCGAGGTGGGAACGTTGTAATCGACTGTGGTAATTGAATATCCGAAAATCTCTGAAGTAATGGCAAACATCGGGTCTATAATCTCATTCTTCTTATTCTTCTCTCAATTCGCCTACGTGATAAACGAGAAGAATCTTGAATCAAAGGTAGTGAGGAATCTGATTGAGATGTACTATCCTCAATTCAAACAAATTACTTTCGAAAAGAATCTCTTCGGCAAAATCATCAATATTAAATACCAAAATCAAGAAGTAGCTATGTCATTTTTAAAAACTTATGAGAAGTTGTGGAGAATTGCATCTGCTAAATTATGTATAACCAATACACTCTATGAAATCTCCAGATTATAGTTCATAATAAGTTCCATCAGTGATAAGGAGGTGATCAGAAACTGTCACGAAATCGGGATCAGATTAAAAAATCTAGAAATGGAACCAAACGCCTTAAAGATAGAGAATAATCAGAATAACTCGAATAATCAAATACTCAGATAAGATATCATTGATAATAATTCACTGGATGAATAGAATCAGAACATACTTAAAATTGTATTTCTTTGATTTCTATTAATCTAGATACCTTAGAACTTAGTTGATGTGCCATAGTCTATTGTGCAGTTCTCAAAGTTGAATCAATCTCAAAGCCTATTTTTGGGAAAGAATCTCCAACCGCAAGAATCAATAGATGCTGAATTGAAATTGAGTGACGAAGATTTCTACATCCTCATGTAAGAATAGTCGAAGGTTAAGGATTTCAACATTGTTGAATTAGACGAAAGTGTGACACCTCAAACCAAATCCTAAAATATTATTCAACGCTAATCGAATTGATGTGTGAGTTTATATTCTTCTTATATCATTCAAAATACATAGTTATAATATAAACATAAATTTAATTAATTTGAATACAATGTAAGGAAAATTTAAGTAATGTTGATAATCTTATTGTATTTTTCAAAAATGACATCATTTATGTATTCATATTATTTTAATTAAATAAAATTATGTCATTAACATCAATTCAACCCAAAAATCAAATTACACTTTCTATATATAGTTTAAAGAAAGATGATTAATAATTTCTCAGAATTCTTAAGAAGAGTCGATTAATTCGGAGCAAATTATAAACCAAGCTACGGTTATGGTGAAGTGTAATTCAAGACCTCTCTCGGAGGACTACTCTCAATTCTATTATACGGTGTCAGTTTAGCATATTTACTTTATGAATTGATTTTGTGGAGATCAGGATAACTCTTACCAAAAGTGACATCTGTATCAACTGAAATAGAAACCTATTCCTTAAACTTTGATCAAGTAGTTATCGCTGAATTTTGTCTCAGAAGACATAAGAGTATTCTTGATTAAATAGATCCTTTCGAACCTGAAAACATGGTATTGCTTCCAATGCTATATAAAGTTGTGGAGGATGAACTCTAAACACCGACACCTCTGTTATCTAAAAAAATGTCCCCGAAACATAATATGATTCTGATTGAAATCTAGAACATAGAACTAGTTAATAATGAGCATGAAGATCTTGATCAAAAAAACATTGAATATACAATTATGTTCGAGGAATGCGATCAAACTGTCCTACCAGAAGGGTGGAATTGTGCGAAGGAGGAGAGGGTTAAAGAGTTCTTCAGTTAAAAATAAAATCAGCTCTATATCAAGACTTTTGTGAATTAATATAACACCTCCACAAAATTGCTGGATTTGATTGAGTAGGATTATTACGCTTCTTTCGATAATAAAACTACCTATTTTACTTAAATGTCGTTAGAGACCTCTAATGTTTCAGTTGACACCGGATTCTTATTCGAAAGTGTCCAAAAACATGAATTTCCAAGTCACATAACGTCATATACACAACAAATGGACTTAGACTACTTTACCCACACTTTTGGGAAGGATGTGTTCATTGTATTCGAATTCGAGCTTGGAACACTGCAATAAACAACATTCATCGAATATCCAAAAGTATCAGAAGTCTTGGCGAACATTGGATCCATTATCTCCTTCTTTCTATTCTTTTCACAAGTGGCTTATCTGATAAACGAAAAGTCCCTTGAAGATAGAATAATTAGATCCGTAATAGAAATGTATTATCCTCAATTTAAGAATGTTAAGTTCATTTAAAATTGGTACACCAAAGTAGTTGGGGTAAAATATTAGGATAAGTCTATTCCATTTAAGAAGTTCATGCAAAAATATAAAGACTTGTCAGATATCGCCAGACAGAAACTGTGTCTCACTAATTTTCTATATGAGATCTCCAGATTGTAGTTTATTATGCGTTCCAATTATGACTCTGAAATTTTGAGCCAAAGTCACACCATAGGAATTAAACTAAACATTCTGGAATCCTCCCCTGATCCTGAGGAGAAATCAGAGATCCAATAAATTAATAAAGTTCACGATTTTCACATAGAAAACGTAGATGATTAATCCCTTGAAGAAATAAGAGTACATCCTAATAACAATGTAAATTCAATTAAAATTCTTTAGAACAATTAAGTCACTCTAGATGTCAATGCGCAAAGTGTTCTGAATATTGAGTAACTTTAAAAACCTTAAACCCTATTCATCAGCAAATCGAATCTGTAATTTTCAAACACTTAAAATAATGACTAACTAAAATTAAATGATGAAGACTTTTACATCTTAATGTAAAATCAATAAGAAATAAAATTGGAGAACTCTAAATAGTAATCCACTATTTATCTTAATAAGATATAAGATTTGAATGGAAAATGATCGATAATTTTTTGTATATAATATTATTACATCAAAGACTCATTCGTTAATTAATTTGGCCACTCAATATTTGTATCCAGCCCCCATATACTCCAACCTCCTTGCTTTGTGGAGCCTAACTTCGGAAGATCTAAGTATCCATAGTGCTATTTCGTTATGAGGATTTTATTTGACTTTAACCAAGATTGGCTCGAGAATTCAATCTAGTCTAATCATCTGCATTCACATTATTATATTTGATCATTGAAGAGTTATAAATACCAGATTGACCCATGAACTCTAATTTTTAGACGAATGTTTATAGCATTAATTTTGCTAAATATGATATAAATATTACGTTTTATTCTGATCATTGAGGTATTTACTTTTTTTTATTCACACTGAGGACATTGTAGAAATTTTACGGAACAACAAACCCCAATTTTATGTTTTGTGCAATCAATCTCCTATCTTAAATTGTATTCTGAAAAGCTAGTAAAACACATTGTGCATTCACCCTATTCAAATTATTTAAAATCTTTCTAAATCTTTTATTCCTGAGTAGACTGGGAGACTTGATCATTTCCACTTTAAGAGTTAACAGATTTTTCATCTTGATCCACTTATTATAACTATTTATAATTAATAAATCTTGAAGGATATTGGATTACTTTATCAGGGATGATTTATTTTTCTTATTGTTATTTAAGAGCTTAAAATTCTTTCAGTTCTCTTTCTTCTCTTTCTTCTTTTTCTTACTAAAATAGTTCCTCATATTTCATCCTCTCCTCTAACTAGCTTAATTACTATTGTTCATAAAATGTATCAAAATCAACCCCATAAATATTGTCACAGGATGGACATGTAAAATTATAAGTATTTGGCTGTTTCTATATCTGCATTTCAACATGTACATGAATGCACGGAAAACAAGTATAATGTTTACACCTTTTATCCTTGTATAATCTAGAAATTTGAGTTTCATTATTGCATTTAGTGCATTTCCCTAATTATTACTTCTGGGTTTGAACAACCTTCTATATTCTAGTTATATCGTCTTCTAGTTAAACTCTCTATTAAAATAGAAGATCATCTATTATTATCTCACACCCTTCAACCACACACTTTTATCCTTTACTCGTAATTCGTTATTTAAAGCAATCTGTGCAAAATCTATGAGAGCATTACTTATTAACAAAGAGCTCCTTTGATGAGGGTTGATAGCAATAATTACATTACTATTCTATTTATTCTATTGGTTTATTCTATTAAACGGGTTTTTAATTCTTATCTAACACTTCGGTAGTATAACCATAACCCTTTGATTTATCATTGGTAAATTATTAAGATTTCTATAAGTTAAGCTATTAGTCCTTTTGCTATCTTAATGCTTCGATCTTGAGTTCTTCATTTAAATATGATTCAGCATCCTTGATGAGTATTTTTTCCTTGCAACTACAACTACATTATACAACCTAATTATTCGAATTGGGGTTTCCCTTTTTTATTTTTTCAACAAGGCACTTTCGGCAGTTTATGTGTAGACAATTAGAATTAATAAAATAGTTGTCAAATTTTTTATAACATATGTTACATGGCTAACCTGCTTGTATTATATATTAGATCAAAGGACTTGTCTATTTAATTAAATAATAACCATCCGTTTGCAGAAGTAGAAATATTTTTTACTTGCTAGTATAGCCCAATTATTATTGTCCAAGTAGGTTTACTGAAATTGAAAATAATCTTGCGATGCTTTCAATCGTTATTTTATTATTAGTAACAGAGACTCTTAATTCTTACAGTTCGCAAAATTCTTCTAAAAGTTATTGTCCCTTTTAATTGTTGATGTCAATATTTTTAAGAAAAATGAAAAATTCTTTCATACTTATATTTCCAATTCTTAGGTTATATATTTATTAAGCTATTTTTAGATTGTCTCCTTTTGTATAGATTCTCTTGGGTTTAGCCAATGTTTCCATCGACTATGATTTGTTTTATGCAATAAAGTAATCTAACAATGCTATGAAAAATGCGGATAATAGGTTTTTCCCTAGGTATTGCAATTATGAATATGGTTGTAGTTCATAAAATTATCGTTTAGCAGCAGGTGGAATAAACCCTACTTCATATATTCCAAGCTTCATTTAATATTATAAATAACATTATATAATATAATTAATTTTATTGTGATATTTCATCATAATTGAGCAGAATTAGAAAAAAGCTTCCAGAGAGTAAAGCATCGTGTGTTATACCCAAGATCCAGGGATGAACAAGTGAAAATTGCAATTTTTAGAAGAATTTCTACTTTTTGGAAATAATTGTTTAAAATTCTGAAAAAAAGGATTAAGGGACTGCATTTAAAGGATGTTGATTGATTTAGTGATTTAGTTTAGATGTCATCTATTTGTTTTATAAAATAATATATAGAAATTTCTGAATTCTGAATTGATAGGAGTAGGTGATTCATGAGTGGGTTGAGAATATTTATGAAGACAAGTGTATTTGATCAGGAAAGATAAATAAATATAATTTATGGCAACTAAGGAACACAGTCTTTATAAATTAGTAAGCAAAGATTAGGCTGAAGCATTTGCATGGTCTTTTGAGGGTCCAAATACAGAGGCTGTCCTCTATCCATTCCAATTCCCTCCCATCAGACCAGATGAAGTCAGAATTCAATAGACATATTTTGGTTTATGCTACACAGATTGTAAAATTGTGTGATTGATAATTTAGGTCATCTTGTTAATTAAGATTGGTTCCCAATTAGTTATCCAAGTGTTCCTGGACATGAAATCTTGGGCCACATCGTATAAAAAGGAGACCAAGTCACTCAATTCTAAATTGGTGACCTAGTTGGAGCAGGATTCATCAGAGATAGTTGTGGAAAATGCAAATAATGTATAGTAGGAAACGATTAATTGTGTGGATAAGTTGGAAATGAGCATTTGATTCCAATCCCCAAGTTTGGTGGATTTGCTACTCATGTCTAATTGCCAGCTAAATGGACATTCCCAATTCCCAACACAATTCCTCAACATCTTGCACCTCCTCTTTTATGCGCAGGAATTACAGTCTATGCCCCACTTAAGAGACACTTTGGAGCCAACAAGAAAGTTGGTATCCTCGGTATCGGTGGTCTTGGACATTTAGCAATCAAAATCTCTGCTGCTTTGGGCATGCAAACAACAGCTATTTCTACATCAGCAGACAAGGAAGAAGAAGCAAGATCCTATGGTGCCACTGATTTCATTTGCACCAAGAATCAAGAATAGATGGGAAAGGCAAATGGAACTTTTGATATGATTTTGAGTTGTGCTAGTGCTAATACAGTTGATGAATTCGTTGCTTACACAAACCTAATCAAGAGCGGAGGTGATTTCGTCATGGTTGGTATCCCAGCACTCACAAAGGTTGAACTCTAATTACCATTTTACGCTTTGGTTGTAAGATAAATTTCCTTCGTTGGATCCCTTGTTGGATCAAGACAAGTATATTTTAATATTAAGACCCTTAGGAAAACTACGAAATGCTTGAGTTTGCCAATAAGCACAAGATTTACCCTACTTGCGAGTAATTCGAGTTTGAAAACTTCAAAGGTGCCTATGATAAATTGTTAAATGGAAAACCCAAATATAGATGCGTTGTCAAAGTTGGTAATGCTCCAGAAACACTCAAGTAATGAGAGTATTATATATAAAGAATCAATTTAAATTGTTATATTTCTCTTTTTTCATGTAGATATTATTTTTTATATATATTTATAATATAAGACTTACAAATATAGTAAATAATCAATTACTCTTATTATTTCTTAAACAACAACTCATGTTCTTTAATGAAATCAGTCGCCCTTTCATATCAATAAAAAACTATTTGAACAGAAAGATCAACTAAACTAATATCGAGCTCACAATAAAAAATAATATTATCCATCCTATGAAATACTTTTGATCAAACGAGAATATAATGCTTACATCATGAATAGCCAGTAACACTGTTATAAGGACGATTATGAAAATACAAAAGTCAGGCACTGCTATTTGTACAAGTATGCTTTTATTGACAAATGGATTCTAATAGAGAATCAATGCCAAATTTAAGAAACATGTTAAACAACACAATGATGTTTACAACAAAGGCACTTCATAAAAGTACACTGTGAAAAATATAAACAAGGCTTTCCTCATTAAATTCACATAACAATAATTCCTAGATAGTCTCTATTTAGTATTGATTCCTTCATACAATGAGCAGTAATATTTTGAAAAGACTTTACTCTCATACAAAATCCTATGTTGAGAACAAACAAAAGAGTATAATCTAAACACCACATAAATAAAAATAATTCCTACCACAGATAAGAAAATATTCAATTAGATAATAGCATACTCTTTATTACACTTATTTTTTAATTAAAGAACACAAGCCAAACAAATATCCAGAAATACTAATCCAACAATTTAAAGTAATTTAGCTCTAAAATTGTATTTAAAATCTTGGGTTTCTTTATAAATTGCTTTTATTATTGAAGGCATTTCCTTGTTTTTTATTTCTATTGTTTCAGTTGCCAGTTATTGTGGGGTGATTTGATAAATACTTCTGTGTCCTGGATTGACTGCAAAAATTGAAATTTTATGTTTTTTTCTAAAATTTGGTTCATAATGAGTCTTAATGATTGACACAACTCCGCTTGCACAAATATATGCAAAAATTGCTAATAAAAATAATCCAAAAAATAATTAGAGATTATTTAAAAATAATGGATTGACATCTTTTTCAGTAAATTTAGGAGGAGCTTAAAAATAATAAGGATCATCTGGCGAATTCAATGAAATAATATCAGGAATATTAAACACATCACCCCATTGAAGTTTATTGAAAAACAACTTTACATTCAAAGGGTAATCCACATTCAGAAAATAAAAGTTGTTAATCCAAGTCAAAATATCTAAGATAGTCCAAAAGAAATTAAATCCTCCTAAAAGAATAGCTAACGGTCCAATTAATTAAAGAAGGAAAGTGAAGGTAGAGGAAGTTGCAACAATAGTTTAGGCTTGAGCCTTTTAAGCTTCATTATAATACACCAATCTTCTTGGAGTGATAACAACTTCTCTAACATCTTCTTCAAGGATTCTGGTGGCATTTTCCTATAAGGGAACTGTCAAATGAATAAGATTAGATTCCAAAATGGTCTTAAAGAACTTAAATGTTATTTGACAACTCTAACCCATCAACTTTTAAACTTCCTTTTATGTAATATTAAATTAGTATTCTTTTATTTTGAAATCTTCTATCCAAACTTTTACCTTGTTGCATACATCTTTTATATAAATATCCTCTAAAGTTAAATCAATATCGTTGGTAGTAGTTGAGTTTGAATAAGTCAAAATAACTTATTTCTTGGGTGGTAATATGCATACGCCATCTTTACAAAGGAACTCCTTTTCAATTTCACATTTGGAATTGCATCCGTCTTTATCTGTTTGATTTCCGTCATCGCATTACTCTTGACCAGCTATGATGTTGTCTCCGCATTTAGTAACACAAGATTTTAGTTGTTTATCTAAATAAAGCCCAGATACATTATCACATTTTTTGCATCCCTCTGTGATGCATTTTGTGCAATTATTTGGAGTATTTTCACATTCCTCACACTTTTCTGAGCATAAATTACATGAATTATCTTTAAGAAAATACCCACCCTTACATTTTATACACTCTACTTTGTTGATATTTAATTTACAATCCTCACAATTTTCTTAACATTTGTAACAATAACTTAATAGTGTCGCATCTTCCTCACAAATATAAAAAGGATCAGGTTTACAAGAAGTGCAACCATCTCTTGCTATATCATTATAATCATCACATAATTCTTAACCAATTTTAATACCATCTCCACATTTTGTTTCACATTTCTGTCCATTTAAATAATAACCAACTTAACATTCAAAACATTCTCCCTTCTAACAATTTGAACACAAGTTATCGCATTAATATTTACATTCATAACATCCATCATATTGGATACTATTTTAATCTTCACATTACTCACTACCTACTACTATGCCATCTCCACATTTAGTCACACAATCATTCAAAAAATTATCATAATATAAACCTGCTAATCCTTCACATTATTTTAATTCCTCACAACTTCCCTTTGATTCTACCAAGATCAGGGAAGTTTCACATTCTAAGCATTTTCCAAACTAACAATTTAAGCACTCCATTTGACATTGAAATTTACACTAAAAACAACCATCATATCTAAATTCATTTCCATCATCGCAGACCTCATCTAAAGCTACTATCTAATCTCCACAAACAGAATTACACGAATTACTCACAATATCCAAATAGAATCCTTCCTAGCAAAGTACACATACTCCAAAAGCGCACTATTTACAATGTTGAGGACATTATAACCTGCAATTTAAACAAGAATCAAATAAGTATTGAATTCCGTCATCACACTCTTCTTCTTAAACTTATATGCCGTCTCCGCATTTAGGAACACAGTTATTCCCATAATATCCCTATTCGCATTCTATACACTTCTGTAGTAAACAATTTTTACAATTACTAGTGCACTTGTTCAAATTGTAATCTAATGTGCAAATATTAGGAGATAACTTAAGATTATATTAACAAAAAGCAAAAGGAATAGTGTTTAATTAACTTTTCTATTCAACTTGCTCAAAGTATACTTAATTTTCACATTTGACACAAGTATTGTCAATATAAATTTGGAAGGTATCAATTAAGGTAGAAGTAATTTTTAGAGATTTAATACATTAGATTTGATTGAAGGATAAGTCATATCCTTTTGTGCATTGTTAACAAATACCGAATTGGCAAAGCTAACAATTAATATCGCAAGTAAATTAGCAAGATATACAATTGTTTTGAACCACTTAGGTGTTTAAAATTTCACATTATTCATCATTTCTCAATAAAGCGTCTCCACAGATTGGATGACATGTAAATAATATTAATTCATAACCATCTAAACAATCATAACAGAGTCCTGAAATGCAATTAAGACATGAATCCTGACAATTGAATTAACAGAAATGACATCCATCTCCTAATATAAAATTACCATCATCACATTATTCATCATCTGTAACTATCCCATCGCCACAAATTGAATAACAAAAATTATCAATTCTATCGTAACCTAATTGACAAGCGAGGCAGCCTTTTCCATTAGTATCACAATCTATACAAGAAGGTTAGCACTTTAAAAGACAGATTTTATTGGAAGAGAGAGTATATTAAGAAGCACAAATTTCACATCTGTTGTTAACACAAGTAGGACAAATAGATGATGGTTAACATTAAAATTAGCACCAACTACTGCAACCATCTTAATCAGTTGTATTACCGTCATCACATTATTCATAATAGTATCCATAAGGATCTGTGACGACTAAACCATCTCCACAAATATTTGTGCAAAAATAATAATATGGAGCAAACCCAGGGAATTCACAACTTAAACAAGTATTTGTGTTGTAATCACAAGATGAACAACCAATTCTACAATGATACTTACAATCTTTGCATCCATCTGCATCAGAAGTATTTGCATCATCGCATTATTCAATTCCAACAATTAGATTATCTCCACATCTTTCTTTACATTACCAAGGAGTGACAGTAGGATCAATAAACCATCCTACAGTACCACATTCTTAACATTCTCCTTTTATACACTTAGTGCATTAAGGTTAACATTAAAATTTACAATCATAACATCCATCATATTAAATAGTATTGCCATCTTCGCATTCTTCAATTCCAGTTATATATCCATCACCACAAATGTCTGGACATGGTAAATTAGTAAATAAATTACAAGTTAAACAATGAGCTGGACATTGATATTAACAATTATAACATTTGTCATCAAAAACATTATTATTATCTTCACATTATTCATAACCTTTTATTTATGAATCTCCACAAATAGGTTAACATTCTCCATATTGTAATTGGAATCCTCCATCACAAGAACTACATATAGTTGTATGCCATATCTATTAATTATTATTACATAATTTATAACATTAAGTTAATGAATTATCTTCTGTAATTGGACAATCTATAATAAATATAAATATTTGAAATACTTGTACAAGTATCATTATCTTCATAATAACCAGGTTTACATTCACATTTTAATCCTTTTAATATTCTATTTAAAGATAGATTACATGTTAAACAACCATTAATAGCAGAACTAAAACATGATTAACAGGATGAATGACAATTAGAACAAGTTTATGTTGAATCTTAATAATATGATCTAATTGGACATTTACATGCTGTTCCTATATTTTGTTTAATATTATTGCAAGTTAAACAGTCATTAGAAGTTGGTCCAGTACAAGTCTTACAAAATTGATGACATAAAAGACATTAAGGATTTGATATGATTGGATAATATCCATCTATACAAATACATTACCCATTTTATAATTATCTATTATTACTAATTAAACATTCTATACAATAAGTTTAACTTAAACATTAATTACATTCAATTGGACAATCATAGCATTGATTTGATTATTCATATTAATTCTATTTACAAGTGCATCCTAATTTACTTAAAGTATAAGTAGATGAACAACTTAAACAATCTAATTGAGATGTACAACTTAAACAAGGCATTGGACATTGTATACATCTAACTTATTCTTTATCATAAAATTAGTTAATATCACATTCTGCTTATGAAAATTTGACAACAGCCGAATTATATGTACTATTCCATTATGTACATGTATTTTAATCTGAACATTATAAGCAATAAGGTTTGCATTTATGAACAGCTATATAATAATTATAGAATCCACAATAGGCATTAATTGGTTCATTATTGGGTCCATAGCATTCCCATTAAATTGTTAAAGTATTTATATTGTGAGAAATTCTTTCATATACTTTATCATATTTTGAACCATCAGAATAGTATGATGATAAATTAGAGGATGATTTATAAACTGAATTGTTTTCAATTGTATATATGAACTATCCATCATTAGGGAATGTTGGACCATAAAGGATATAAAATGCAATAGTGAGACTATGATGAGGATCAAGTATGTTATGAACTCTTTTGAATTTAGCCTAGGCCCAAACAAAAGGGCCTCCAAAGACTCGATATGATTACCAATATGAATAATAAATATCTAATCCCTTTAAAAAATTTTTTCCATTTTGGCAAATTAAAGTATATTAAGAATATTATTCAGGATCATTTGCAGTGTTTATATATTCTTAAACTAAAAACATAGAGTCTAAATTTATCTTGGTATATATTTACATGGTGTTTCATCATCATAATCTTAACAATAAGAACCATTTAATTGTTGGTTTGGGTTTTAACATCTACGAATGCAACTACCATCTCTATAATTAAAATACCCAGGATTACAAGTCTTACATTTAAATGATACTTCACACAATTAACAATATAAAGGACAATATCCAGAAGTAATTTAGACTGAATATATTCCCCATCCTGCATTATCATTCCTAGAGTATTTAAATAGAAATTTACGTAAAGTTCCCTACTGCTGAAAATATAAATGGGTATTTAGGAATGTCTAGATATGTAATTAATTCATATTTTATGGCTGAGGTATAACTCATATATGGGCCATAGGAAGTAGTATCAAAGAGATTTAATTTATGCATTTATATGCCAGACGTATTTCTATAAATTGATCCAAAATAAGTCTAATTAATCTTAAATTATATTCCACATTCAATTGGAATCTCATTGAATGCAATAATTGAAATTTTTATTCCAATTAACTAAGTGTCATATTAATAATAAGCAATTTGATTAAAAAATCTACATAGACCAGAATTAAATTTAAATACTCCATAAACATATTCATTAAATGCTAAGATTGTTGGAGATGTATCCATATGTTTTGGGTCATATAACAATGACCATTTGAAATTTTCGAATGAAGTAACATGATAAATATTTACTTATTCAAAAGTATAAACTATCATATTTAATTACATATTTACTTTGATAATTCTAACATATTCCATTAGAAAACAATGGAGACTAAATGTCACAAGTATTTTTGCAACCATTATATTATTTAAAATATAAATTTGATGGGCAAGGCGGACAAATATTATTTGTAGGAACTCCATAATAACATCCTGTGCATTAATTGAAGTTGGGTCCTGTGCAAGACATGCATGTAGGATGGCATGTTAGAGATGATATATAAAAGTTTTTAATTGAAACTTATCCTTGAGTTTCGTTTGAGACTGATAATAGGGGTTATCCATAACTTTAGCTTGCCATTTCAATTGTAAAATTGATAGTTCTTATGTCAGCAGTAATGTTGTCACAAAATTAGCTGGTTAATGGATTACTTGAAGGCAAGGTATATGTATAATTATACACAAATGATCCTAAAACAAGCGTAACATTATCATTTGACCATGTACCTTGAAAATATAAGTCTACCGATACAAAATACCCATTCATAAAAGAAAAGCCATATATTTGTTTTGCTGATTAATTTACTTTATTTAGAGTAATGTAACTTGTTGGAGGGGCTGTACAAGTAATAAAATTAGCAGTTGTAGAACCTGATTCTGAAACAAAGTAACCTGAATATAAGTAAGCATAAGATTCATTATTATAGGTGAAAATCTGATTTTAGGTTAAGTAGCTATATCTTGTTAGCCATTATGAATTTGTTAGTTAGATCAAACATACAACGGTGAGTTTGATTAATGATTTCATTAATTAAAATATAAGATTATCTCAAATAATCTATGAGATTATATTTAACAAATATATATTATAATCTATGAGTTTTCTATTAAGCAATAATTATTTATAGTCCCTTTTCACCTGTATAAATTTTTAAATAAATTATATATTTAAAAAGATATTAATAAAAATAAAAAGCATACCTTCTGAAATTGAAATGGGATTTGTTACAAATGTTATCAAATTGAACAATAATGCAGCACATGGAATAATATAATTATAGAATTTGATGCAATTTAGGAGATTAAATTGAAATGAAATGAAAATTAAGAATTAAAATGAGCGGCAATTTGATTGCATGAGTGGCTGGCATTTCTATATGAGATTTTGGATTTCTATTGAAATGTTGTGTCTCGATTTGCAATACCTTGAATGTGTGCTAAGGTTTATGAAAAAACCCAAAACCATTCTTGAGAATATATAAAACGTGATTAAATTAAATTCTAATATCTGAATCAGATATATAAATCTTAATTAAATTTAAAAAATATTTTATGGATCGTCTTAACCCATCTTCGAAAGATTGTATAGTTCCACTAATTGAAGAAAATTCCCCCTGTATTTGTAATAAATAATATTTATAAATAGAAACAAACAAACCAGAGATTGATCCCCACTTTTTATTACCACAATTTACACAAATGATGTAAAACCCAGATTTCTTTCTGTAAACTGTTTAATTAGAGTAACTTAAACAGATGTAATCCTCATTCTATTCACAAATGAATAATATCCCTCTCATTACGGAAGAACCTAGAGTAATGGATTTATTTACATAATAACTTTTATAACAATAGCTTATTTTAAATGCGGCATTATTAAACCAATTCCAAGTAAGTTGAATACTAATTAGGGTGTTGAAAATATTAATTATAGTCAAACCAAAGATCTCGTGGATAATAAAATAAAAAGAAAACACATCAAAAAATCTCACAATCCTTCTTTTAATAATGGTACTGTCCTCTATTCTATTTAAGGTCATTGGAGCGCACAGGAACATTAAGTCTATCTAACATTTTTGTAATAACATAAAGATGTGATGGAAAGCTCTGAGTTAAAGAAGACCAATAAGATATTTAAACTTATGTCCGACATAATTAAGTCTAGATCTCCTTCCCAATGCCGTTCTCATCATTAAAAATTCAATCCCTATTCCAAATACTTAGTTAATGTAATTTGTATTTGATAAATTAGAATAATATTGTTCGTAGAAAAATGAAGGAACAAATGTTGGGTGATGCTCAATAACAAAAACAATCAAAATTAGAGAATGACAATATTCAACAATAGTCCCAAGATTCAAATTAGAAGATTGAATTCTAATAGTAAGATTCTAATTAAAAATTGGAATCTTAATAATAATTATTGGAATCGAACGTGAGAGATGATCAATAATAACTGAGCGGTTAAGAATGATTGTTTTAACTCTAAGATAATATCAAAAGAAACATTTTATTAAATATAAATTATTTTATAAAAATATTCTAAGTAGCTCTATCTAGCAGCATTAAAATAAAGTACTAAAAAATGATAACTAATTTATTATGCCTATAAAAGTATTAGATCTTTATTGATTATGTAGAGTTAAAGATTGATTGGGACTTCATTGAGAGAAGTGAAGTGGAACTAAAATTATTTAGTGAATCCAACAATATAAATATATAATATGAAAGAATTTTGAGAACTTAAATTATATTTTATTCTTGCGTCACTCTTTTTTCTTAAGTTAAGGTCTTAACAAGAGGGAACTTTAGATTTATTTGAGCTAGTTTGGTTCGATTATAATAGGAAATGTTTTTATTTTTATGAAATTATGAAATAAAATAAAAAAAGATTAAGTTATATAAAAAATCAAAAGCCTGCAAACATTGAATGGATATTAAATCTTCTTGATTAGATACCTAAATATCAATTATAATAAAGCAACCTCAAATCAGCAACCTAAATTTAACTGTAAGGATTATAAGATTGTGATCAAATACTCAAATCGGAACTTTATTCTTTTAACAATAAGACAAATAAATTTTAACAGATAACATTTTCACTCTACCCCAATATGCTTATCAATAACTTCGGAGAATTCCTCATACTATCTACTTGTATCATGATTAAGAAGATTATCTAATATAAAGAGTTCATTGCCCAAGGTGTTCTATTGTATAATCACCATGGAAATCTATTTATATTTTATGAATCTTACGTTTAGCAATTAAATGTACCTATATTCCTTATTCTTAGTGGGAAAAATAATTAAAAAGATTTTGTAAACAACAAAATTTTTCTTAAAAATATACCATCAAAGAAAAATTATCCATTCCAAATCATTTTGTTTGTGTGAAAAATAAAAACAGTAAGAAATTATTAAATAACAATAGATCGAATTTACACAGTACAAATGATAAGATTTACTCATTTAAACGAGTAAAATTATGAACAATTAATGAACGAAATAAATATTTTGATGTGTTTTAAGTAGAGTGGTCTAAATTAATTCCATGCATTATTTGAAGATGGAGAAATCCTATACATTTTGTACGATTATTGGATAGGGGACACCTTATTTAAATAGTTGTAATAAGGATTGCTACTAACTATGCAACAAATTTCTCAAATTATTTATCAATTAATAAAAGTATGCAGATTTTTAACAATAAATAATCTTTATCATGCTGCCATATTACCAACTAATATTATCTTATTGAGAAACAATAATAATGCTCAGCAATAAACAAAGATTACTTTATTTAACTTCAGTTTTAGAGATGTAAATTAAGTTCCTTCGATAATATAAAAATTACCAAATGCTTGGATACCTCCTGAGTTCTCTTGTTTAAATGTGAAGTAAGACTTTGCATAAATTGATTTATATTAAATTGGAGTTTTGCTTTACTACTTAACAATATTTCTGCCTGAAAACAATATCAAACAAGGTCCCTTTAATAAGACTATTGATAATTTTTAGATATAATATGCCTGGCTCAAAGGATTATAACATAAAAGCCCAATCCCTTACTCATATTCATTAGTTGATTTCTTATGCTAACTATTAGATCCAAATCCTCAAACCAGAATCACTTATTCAGTTGCGATTTGTCATCAATGGCTCATAAATTAAAAGCATTAATAAAATCCGATCGAAAAAGATAATATGAAAATCTTAGCATCTTTAAGAACTATTTTAGAATTGAGAGAATAAAACTCTAACGATTATGCATCCTCTTAAAGATTCGATCAAAAGTTAGAATAACATATAACAAGTTCTTCAGAAGAGGATGACTAAGTATAGACTGTGGATGATTATCTTCATAGAATATCCAAGGAAAGAAATTGTATTCCTCACTATATAAACCTCATGAACATAATTACACCTTGCAAACACCCTTCTAGAAAATCGCTTAACGATTAAATTCAATTTGTTTGATTTCACTCTATATTTATCAAATTTTTACCTACATATTAATTTAAAATGTAATAGTTCTCTAAAAATGAAAGGATTAATAATATTTTTGAGTTCTTGAAATTATAAAATCTAATACTCAATTGTATCTTATCAATTATTTTTGTTGTTTTTATTTAAAAATAATTACTAATACCTTTAACGTGTGAAAACTATTGAATATACGTTAGCATAAAGTAAATATATTATGTTATTAATCCTTAAATATATGATAGTAAATATCAAAATAGTTATAATATAAGGTATGATTCAATATTTAATAATATATAATATTGTTATAATACTCAATTATCAGTCCAAGATGGTTTTCTCTTTTCTACAAATGCTGACATTCCCTCTTTTCTGTCTTGAGTTGCGAATGTAGAATAGAATGCTTTTCTTTCATATTTCACTCCTTCTCTTAATCCAATGTTTTCTGCCTCGTTTATGGTGTCCTTGATCAAAGCAGCAACAGGTCTAAAATGATGATTATTTGTGCAATTACTTGCTAAATGAAGCTATCTTTTCAGCCACTTTTAATGTTTCCTCAACTAAATTTTATGCTGGAACTACTTTGCTGACTAATCCATATGAGAGTGCAGTCTGTGCATCAATGAATTCTCCTGTTAATGTCATTTCCATAGCCTTTGATTTGCCTACTGCTCTAATTAATCTTTAAGTTCCTCCACATCCTGGAATCTAATTAAATAGGAGTATCTCTTACTGTTCCAAGTGTAATTTCAGGCAATCCAAATTTAGCATTCTCTCCTGCATAAATAATATCACACATTAATGCCAATTCAAATCCACCACCTAAGGCATAACCATTTACTGCTGCAAGGATAGGCTTTTTAATATTGGTCAAGTTTTCCCATGCTAAAGATGATATATGTTTATTACATGCAAGCATTTAGATGTTTTGAACTTATGGGAAAGATTTGTCTTACATTTCTTTAATGTCTGCTCCAGCTGCAAATGCTTTTTCATTTCCTGTAATCACAATTGATCCATATTCAGGATTAGCATCAATTTCCTATGTTACTTGGTTTAATTCTTTAATTAATCCATCACAAAGAGCATTCAAAGCTTTTGGTCTGTTTAATTAAATTAAGGCGACCTTTCCTTTTTGTGTAACACTGATGAAATTGTATGTGCTAAATCTGAACAATGATTTCCTAAACATATAAAAAATTTATTTATTTATATAAAATGACGTATTCGAGGTATGTTATATAACATTTAATAAATAATTTCAAAAAATTCTTAATCTCCGCATTCATAACAACTAAATATGTGTTAAAATAATCACTTGGTTGTATTTCTCATTGATTAACAATCATTTAGTTGATATTTGAATAAGTCAATCTGGATTTGAAATTATTCTGTTATTCGTTTGAAAACAGTTAATGAGACTAACAATCGATACTACAAAATTTCATAGAAGGCTTCTTCTTAAGGTATTTTTAAACATTTTTTATTTTATTCCTTAACAATTAAATTAAAAAAATGATAAATCAATTAGATTGAATTCTACTTTCTTCAACAAATATGAGTTATGTATAAACTATTTCTAGAATCCATATCTAATTATAATTCTAATTTATATATATAATCTAAACTATTTACTTCCAAAATTTTTGAAATTATTTGCTATTTACAATGCATTGATTTATATAAGAATGATTAATTAATAAAAATTGGTCAAAATAACGAGAGCTTTTACTTAATGATTATTAAATTAATTGATAACTTGTATCATAGGATCACTTTTATATTAATCCTAATCTAGCATGCAATTAGCTATTTGTTTTAATAATTAAAGGGGAATCTCCAAATTTATAAGCCTACTTTATGTATATTCAGAAGATAATTCTTGAACTTTCAATAGTAATAGTGAGTTTAATTTATTAATATTAATCATCAATTGCATTCTGATGTAAGGATGGAGAGGGAATTCTTTAATGATTCGAATATATAACTTAAATTGAGATTAACAAATATTGATTAATGACTTTTGCAATGGTTTTAATTTATTCAATTAATTTAAATATCAATGTAAATCGATTAATAATAATAATCATCAACTCTAGAAAAGGAAGCTGAAAGCCCTAAGAGAAAAGAAGAGGTGAGATTGATAGTTTTCCCTTAAAAATTCCTTAATCCTCTCCTGACGTTTCGAATGAATGGGGTAACTAGAATAACCAACTAAATTCAAGGATTTTCATTTATATGCAGATTCTCGATATATTCAAAGTCATCATCCATTGAAAATCGGAATCAGTTGCCAGAATCCATATAAAAAAATTACGAATATTGTTATGGATCAATTCTCAGAAACAATTACTTTGTTTTATACTCAATTAGATTTTTCTTAAACTCCATGGGAATATGTTGTGAAAAGACTCGAGAGTTATGGAGATTTCGAAATGAATAAATTAAGTTTATATATTAAGAAATACAATGAACAGCTTAATTCAGGTCTGAAATAAGAAAATAATAAGACGGTAAGAACTATGAATTAATTGTTATAGACAGTGAGTGCTTCGTACAGATCAAAGGGCTCTTACCAATACAAGTATATAAAAGAGCTGGATTAGTTCTTTATTTCGTCTGTAACATATGACATCAAATTGATCTAAGATTTGGGATTTGCAATTCCCCAGTTTATTGAACAGTGTTTTAAGACAGGAATCCCAGAGTTTATTAATTTTAATTTATTATAAGAATATCTTTGAAGCCAGATAGCACAAACGACCAGTACTATAAAAATGTTGTGGAATTCGCCAAACCCTTGATATTTCCAGACGAAGAACAAGATTTTTACTTGTACTCGCATCGATATCCTCATGTATAAATGGTCAACCAATATATTTTAAGGGTCTGAAAACAAGCGTATCTTTTTCGATTGGGAAAGTAGATAAATCTACGATTAACGATGAACTCGTCAACTTCAATTTCTATTTCGATTACAAACCTACAATCAATACTAAAGAGTCAGTTCTCACAACCAAAAAGCTCAGATCTCCAAACAGCATATCATTCTACTATTAGATTCAAGAGAATTAGTATCATAGATGTGGATATAAGAAAACCAAACTTTCTTGATTAATAGCTTTATGTTTATTAAACAAAGGTTATGATTATTATACATTAATTAATTGTTCCATTAAAATGATGAATAGCATATTTAATTGTGCTTTTTTCAGTTGATTAAAAATATAATTTCATTTTGTAATTAAAGTCCCCTTAAGTAATGATGATTATTTTAGAAAATCTCATTTTCTTGGGCACAATTCTTGAAAGACAAAATTAATACATTCCATTAATCTAGGTTAAATGATAGTTGAGGATGGATATTTCATTATTTTTCTTCCCCACCCCTCAAATATTGATTAATATTACGATGAATCATTATATTGATAAAGGTTATTCCACATTTGATTGACATATTCTTACAAAAAATGTGATTTTACTTCTTCATGGACTAAATGAAGAATAAAATTAGTTTTATTCATTTTAATACTAAAATTCAATTAAGAATAATATTGTTCTTCCAAATTCATAAGAATGAGTAACCTTCTTATATCTTTCCAATCTGAGATCGATTTAAAAAGTTGAATTTGGAGTAATTATATATATTTGACATAAAATGATTTAGTAATTACGATTCTATTGTTTAGTCATATTAAAAACGAAGCAATTTTAGGATGTAATTTCGCCTAAAATACTTATTGCTTTATTTTTACGACAAAAAAGATATCTTCATTATTAATATCTTACAATACATGGTATTTCCCAGTTAAGTATTTTACATCAGGATTATTCAGGTGAACATACTTACAGTGTCTCCAATTTTAATTAAATTCTTCTGCCTTTGAAATCCGCTTCAAAAATATTGAAGAAAATTAGAAAATAATACTTAAATAACCTTATGCATCATGATAAGTTGGCGATGCATTATGATAGTTTGTAATTGTATTCTTATAATAATTTTAATTAGATATTTAACTCTGCAAATAGTTTTAATTTCTTACATAATATATATAATTAACTTAACAATGAGTTAAATAAATTAATGAAGAGTTAAAGTATTTACAAGAAATCGAACCAAATTAGATCCACTTGTATCAAATCCATCGAGGCTAATCAAGAGTTCTATTTGGCAGTCATAGAATAATAAATGTGTGTGAGTATTTGTGCTTACAATGAATAAACTGGGGAAGTCTTTGTTACTTAGTTTTTAGATTGTACGACTTTTAATATCACTTCATCAACCATCTTGAGATTTGCTCCTAAGATCTTGATATCTATTGAGAACAATGAAAAAAGCATGTTTTTTAAGTAATTAGAAGACGAATTGAATGATACTTTAATCTATTTTCTGCCTCTCAATGTATTGCAAATTAAATTCGAACTCAATCAATTTAGTAAATTAGTAAAATAATTAAATTAACTTTAATTATGCTACACTGCATTGTCCTACACAGTGAATCAGCATTTGAACATCATGATTAATAATCTGCCAGTTCAATTCTACAACATCAAGGAGGTGCTGGTGTTCAATATTTAAACTACTTTGAGTCTAGATATCTTAAATCAATTATATAAACTCTTCAAGCCCATTACAAATGGAGGTAAGAGACTACTTAAGGCAAATCTGCTTTAACCCTTTAGTACATTGCAAATGATTCACATTCGACAGTAGAATGTTAAGGAAATGCTGAGCAAGGACGATTCTACAATTCAAGCATTGAAATCACATCTGATGAAATTCAAACAAGTTGATACTTTGGCTTGTCAATTACAAAGCAAGAGCAATAAATTACAGGATCAATTATAGTAGATATTCAAAATATACAATTTCCAAAAGGACGTAATCAATTTTACACATTACTTGAACGATTAAAAATTGAATAACATAATGGATATAGATATCAATGGTATACTAATGAGTGATGAATTCCAGAATATAAAGTAATAGATAGAGTAATATATTGATGTGACTTTGCAATTGAATAATATTGAGGAGGACACTCTATTTTTTATTATGTTAAACGAGAAATCCAATAATTTAAAATAGAACCGATTATAATTTATATAATTAAGATAGGAAATAAATAATCTATTTTAAAGATTGTTATCGTGCTTTTGTCTCAATTTGAAGTGCAAAAAACTTAAGTCAAATGATAATTCAATAAAATGTCTCAAAAGTGGATACATTTTTGAATTGTCTGTAAATGAAGCAAGCAGGAACAACATAAATGAATTAGATATAAAGAGAATAGTTGAGAAGGAGAATGATTCCATCTCCTTCATTGATAAAAACAATAAAAAATACAGTATTCTAACTGAGAAACTCAAAGATCTAAACAATAAATTGAACGATTGCACAGCCAACATATTATCTGAAACATAACTTTAAGTTAACAATTTATATGAATAAATGCAGAAGCTTTGTTCTTGGATATTTTCACTTAATTGTTTGATCAGTTAATTTGATATAGCTCTTTGTATAAGAGATTACACAATCCAAAATGTATCAAGTAAGTAATAGATGATCTTTCCCCAATTTGAGTATGATTAGTTCGTGATTAAGGACGCTTCGTACTTGTCCTCAGTGAGTTTGCATGATGTATTCAATAAGTTGACAATTTCATTTAATTAGTTTAATATCATATATGATTACAAGGAATGTCTTTCAGAACAATTGAAATTGATTGGATAATTGATTATACTCTCCCAAATCGGATGCACATTGCCTTGTTCACAATTCAAATAGCAATTATTAAGTTGTTTATACACTCATTTTCAGAAATATACCATTTAGAATTTGGCTGAGAGATAGTCTTCATTTACTGCTGAAATTTAATCGTTGAACAATTTATTGGTTTCTGAATTGAGTGACTCATTAATTTTGTGTGATTCCTTAGCAATTTCATCATCGCATGAATCGAATGTGTCATTCAGCATTTCATTTCTGGAGGCCATATTCAAAAAGACTCACTTTGGGTTGTTTGGAACATAAAATTCAGATATTATGCAAATAAATGATCTTATTTAATGCAAATGCATGATTTCAAACAATAATTAGATCGACTATATATAGTAGAACCAATTGGAAGTAAACTATTATTAATTATGTAGCAAATTCTTGATGAGGAATTTAATTTGGATTATAAGTTGAAGCTGCTTAATAAATTACAATAAACATTTGATTTTCCTTCAACATTTTGTTTGATTTTTGAGCGCAACTTTAATAAATAATATGTTTGAGAGTACTAATGATTATTAAATATTTAATATTTTATATATATATATGAATTTACTTAATTGTTTAGATTTAAGTCAATAAATAGTGAAATAGATTTTTCGAAGTAAATACAAATCGAAGGTGGATACTAACTTCAATATTGAATGTAATTAAATACGTAAAAAATGGAGCAATAATGGATAAAACCATATCGTAATCTAATTTTATTTATGCAAATCAAGAAAATAATATTTAGTGGAAGAATGGAACATCATTTGCATCTAATAATAAATAAGTGATCACATTCAAGAATAATTTAAGAAGTGTGAATAATTGGCTTCATAAACTCCATTGTGTTAAAAATAAGACAATCAAATTGATCACATCATACATTTGAATGAAAATAAACGAACTGATTGGATAGATCCCAGTTTAATCCTCACAAGCCAATTGTAATTATCTAACAAAGTGACAATCAACGTGGCTTATTTATCAACTCTAGAAGTTATAGAACGAGAGATTCAAGAATCAACCAAAGACTCATTGCCATTTCGAAGGGATCGTTTTTTATCAGATGATATACAATAAAGTAAGTATGTATTCATATGCAATAAAGGTAATCGATTAAGGAGAAGCACCGACATTGATGGACTCAGACAGTACAAAAAGAACAAGGAAATATTGAATAAAGTGATGAATAGAATGAATGACTCATTTTGTAAGATATCAGTGTTAATGGTTAGCTTCCACTTCCAGCAAAAATAAGTCAACCTAATTATTGACCATTATCAACAAGAAAGATGACATTGAAATACTATCATCTCCAGAAGATGCTCAAAAGATCATAGACGAAGATGAAAATGGAGATTATGAAATCTAAATGATTATTGATGAAGAACCAATTATCAAAGGCCAAACCGTTATTATCAAGGCATAACAACAACAATTTCACCCAATTATAGATTACATTTTCAAAATAAGAAACAAGAAACATAATTATAATACTTAATTAATTGATACAATGAATTTTATTAAGAATTAATACTGATGTTCATTATTATTATTCTCATACTTGCAAATGTTGCAGTGCTTCATTTTACCTTAATGTTATTCATATGCTCAACCCTATCATATATCTAGAGTGTCAATATTGGTACTCAAGAAATTATGATTATTCCATTAATTTGTATTAATTAATATAAGTGTTGATGAACTTACTTTTCCATACTTTTGTAAAATTTGAATAACTCTTAAACAAATCTACTCAAAGTTTATTTGAATATATGAGTACTTCTTAACATAATATTTTAATCAAGTGTGATGTGTCTATTAATCAGATGATAGTTGAATACAATACTATTGAGAGATAAATGACATATTTATAAAATATTATAAAATATTTAATATGGCTGAATAGGAAGAATATTCTTAATGTTAAGGTCTTGGTTATACCTTGATCAAACATTCAAAGTCTGAGATTAGAAAGATATCTGATCCTATTTATGATTTTATTTATTTTGACCAAGCAATTTGGAAGGTGATCGACAATCCAGTTTATTAAAGATTGCGAAACATCAAACAATTAGGCACAACAAGTTGGGTATTTTAGGGAGCAAATCATACAAGATTTGAACATTGTTTGGGAGTGGGACATTTGGCATAATAATTCATTACTTCGATCTATAAAAACCAACCATATTTGGATGGTGAAGAGGATAAAAGGAGAAATATTAAACTGGTTACGATAGCTGGAATTGTACATGATCTAGGTCATGGTCCATTTAGTCATATGTTTGATAATCTATTGATACCCAAACTCACTAACTCTTCTGAATTGTGGTGTCATGAATAGGCCTCAGAAATGCTGTTCAACTACATGTATGATAAATACTCGCTGGGCCTGGAAAAAGATGAGGTCAACTTTATTAATGCTCTTGTTCATGGAGACAATAACAAAGTTTCTAACGGAAAGAAATAATGGTTTTATGATATTGTTTCAAATAAAAGAAATGGCATTGATGTAGACAGAGTCGATTACATTCGTAGAGATTGCCATCATCTGGGACAACCCCCGTCTATCAAAGATTTTCAGTATCTCATGCAAGAATCTCGAGTTATTGATGATGAGATCTGCTATCCATAAAGATATGCATTCAACATTTTTGACTTGTTTAATACGAGATACAAACTATTTAAAATCGTTTATCTCAATAGAATAAGCTAATGCATTGAATAAATGATGTGTGATATTCTGCTGTCAGTCAATTCCATCTATAAGTTTGATTAAATTATCTATGAACCTGAAAAGTACTGTAAGTTGAATGATTCCATCATTGAACAAATAGATAGTGCAGAAGGACCAGAATATGCTAAAGCCCAAGCAATAATTAAAAGATTAAAAATGAGAGAATTATATAAATTTGTAAGTGAAGCTCTTATACCCTAATCAACAATTTTATAGTCAAATGAAAAAATTAGAGATGAAATCATGGCCTACATGCCTTCGAGTGCCTAAGTCAATATTGATGAGATTTATGTATCTTAAGGTAAGGTTGGTTTTGGATCTAACAATGAAAATCCTATTAATCTGGTTCATTTCTATAAGGGATCAGATCAGGATCTCAAAATTCAAGGAAATGATACAACTACAAGTTTCTGTTTGCCAAAATAGTTCTCTGAGAAATTTATCAGAGTCTTTGTTTCAAATGTTTAAATAATATAGCCTGTTGAGAAGGCTTTTGAATTGTATTGTAAAAACAAACTTGGGTTTTCTCCAATAAATCAGGATCGATATTAAACACCTTAAAAGGCTCCGGTTGTTACAGATTTTTCTTAAATCAAATTAACGTGAGCACTGATTTGCATGATTGTTAACTATAGTATTATTTGCAATCAAAAATTAAGACATTTCATTTTGCTATCTGCAATATTTAAATTGATTTTATATTTCCTAATCGTTTGGATTCTTAGCCAAAAAGTCGTTAGGAATGAATTTCTTCTCAATGTAGGTTTATAAAATATTATTATTGTTTTAATTATAAGGATTTACAATATAATTATTAAATTGTATAACTCATAATTACAGAATGATGATTCTTAATTCGCACTAATTAATTAAATGCAAATCATTTTCTCAAGCTTACTAAAAGCCAACATATTTTTCATAATTTAAATATATATATTATTATGCAATAAGCCACTCATGTGATCTATGAGCTTGAAGATGATGAGGACAATAAATAATAAACTTCTAAACAAGTAGATAAGCTAATCTCATTATTATAGTAAATCAAGATTGATAGAAAATTGGGAGCAGTTACTTATAAGAAATGGGGCACGTTATATAATTACTATTTCTCATTCAATCTCAAAAAAGCAAGACTGTTGTGTTACAAAACGAAGACATCCTCGTCTTACAATAATTATTATTCATTAAACAAGGGAGATTTTGTCAAGGATGAATCAGATATTGATCGATTCGAAAAAAGTTTGAAGAAAAGGAAAAATTATGAAAGTCCCCCAGATCAGAAGGTACAAATTGACTAATGACTTAAGTTAATTATTTATGTACGAACGGTTAAAGGCAGAATCTTTAAATTAGTCATCGACGAAAACGAAAATTATGATAAAATCGTAGGTTATTTATAAATTTGTTTCTCATCTAAAATTTAAACTGTGACCTCCTTTTTTGCTTTGCTCGGCGTAGGATTAATCAAAGTAAACGATTACGAATTCAAATTAACCACTGGCATCTTTGTATCTTTGAATGATTGGTCAAAAACAAATAATAATAAATATCTCTTGAATAATCATGATTAAGGCTTAAACTTATTAATAAGCAATATCGAATTATTGGGTGGAATCATAGGTTCGTTTTATAGAACCCAAAGTATATTCGGAATTATCTTTAACCCATTTACACAAACCATTGACATCGTATTGTTCGATAACTAAAAGTAAATCATTTTATTAAGCTATTTTAGTCCTAAAAAATTACTTTAGGGATTGTTCAAATTAGTCAAATTTAGTAGAAAACAAATCTAACCATCAGGTCGAGGGCAGCTGTTGAAATTGAGAACAGATTAAAATGCAATTCAAGAAACCCATTATGTAGAAATAGCATAAAATGAGAATGTTAAAATATATATACACAATGAGTATCTTAACATTTCAGATTATGAGTTGGTCTAAGGATCCATGTTCACATCCTAATATGTCGATGATCAAAATGATTTGGATGCTGATAAGTTAATATCGAATACAGCTTTAGAATTCTATAAAAAAGAATATAAACTAATAAACAGCAATGAAGATGAAACTAAAGAATTTATTATTGTTAACAGATAGTAAAAATAATTAAATTTTAATAATATTGTATCTTCTAGATGTAATAAAAGACACATTTCAATTACTACTGAGGAAATTGTTGATGAAAACTAAGGACAAGGTATTTAAGTAGCCAAAAGTATAAAAGTGCATATGCATAAATCAGAACAAAGTATACAAAAATAAAAATATGCTTCACTCCCTAAATTAGAATTAATTGCAGAATTTCAAACAGGGTATTTTAATTAAATTGAGAACATCGATTAGGTGAAATAACATCTATTCAAATAAGAATAATAGCAATAATAAAATGGAAAGGACGTATAAAATACATAATAAGAATAAAATAAAGAAAATAAGGAATAAAAAATACTAGAATGTTAACAAAAAGAGCAAGATAATGATTCAGATGAAATTGATTTGGTTAAGTTTTCAATAGTTTTTGAAATATCTGAGCATTGCCCTTATAGAGATTATAGTTCAATAATGAATTACGCTGTTAGTTTTAAGAAAATAGATTACAAAGATGAATATAGAGTCAGTATTGCTCATAAAAGTGGAGGAACAGCTTGTTAAGATAAGAAGATTATTGAATTAGCAAGAAGTGTTGGAAAAAACATGATCAAATAAGTGGGTTAGAAATTATTAAGTGGTAATTTCAATCTTACACAAGTTTCCTTTCCAGTAATTCAATATCTTATAAATGTATTTAGATCAAAGCCATGATTCCCAAATCTGCCTTAGAAAAAACCTTCATGTAAACTATTCTCTTTCCGTTATATTTAAATAAGGCAGCATCCCTTTAAGATCCTCTTGAACGAATGAAACTCTCAATTGTCGGATTACTATCTAATTATATTTAAGCTAACTCTTTTCTAAAACCTCTTAATCCTATATTGGGGGAGACTTTTGAAGGAGGTTATGAAGATGGAACACAATTATTTTGTGAATAAGTAATTATTAAATATCAATCTATTAGATATCTCATCACCCTCCACTTTCTTATTTCTTAGTTTACGGACCAAAAAAGTCTTATAAATTTTATGGTTACTCTCTCTATGAAGCAAAGGCAGGATTCAACTCTCTAACCATATTGAATCATGGTAAAAGAACATTATAATTTAATGATTAAAAAATACAATGCACATTCTCATCAGAACATTACTCTGGTACTTTTTTAGGAACAATGAAAAATGAATCGCAAGGCTCTCTTTAATTTGTTGATGAGGCTAATAGTAAATAGTTTAATTTATGAGTAGATTTAAAATGTGTCGTCTAACTAGGAAAGGTGAAAAATAAACCAACCGATTATTTTGAAGGAGAGATCAAAAGAGGAAAAACAACTCTAAACAAATTATTTGGCTCATACATGGGATTTGCTGATTTCGATGGTGTTCGATATTGGGATGCCAGAGTTGTTAAACCCTTCGCAATGCAGATATTAAAATCTTCTCTTGAATCAGATCATGCAAAAAGAACAGATAGAATCTTTATGGTACAAGGTGATATGGACAAAGCTCAATCTGAAAAAGAGAGACTGGAATAACTATAGAGAAAAGACGCAGCTTTAAGAAAAGCCTAAAGATAAAATGATTGAGATTCTTCTAATTATGTATATTATAAAATATAATATCAATATTACTATAAATTATAATTATAAAAACAATAAATGTATATTAATTAATTATATTTAAATTATATTAAAAATTATTTAAAATTCTTCTCGAATTAAAGGAATTATTTAACTATTCTGACGATACTCTGTTTTAAGGACTCAAACTTGTATTTTCGAAGAATTTCATGCAATAATTTGGATTCTTAAAATGATATAATAATAGTAATCAAAATTCAACTTCCTTTTTTGTTGATTCAAAATCAACTCTTTTGGAATTATAGAAAGTTCCTTATGTTAATATTTATGCTCCTGAGGTAAAATATAAACAGTAATAAATGTGTTAAAAAAATAAATACCAAAAACAAACTGACATTTTTCAAAAATAATAATAATTAAATTTGAGTAAACTAAAATTAAGATCCAGCATTAAAAACTTGGGCATTGTAATATATTATTCTTATTCTGAAAAAGTCAGAATGTTATTGATTACTTTATATTGTAACAAGGATTAAACCCCTTAAAACGAGAAGTTATTATGAAATTTCATTTTTTTTTGTTATTCAATACTAATAAGATAAACACTAAAAGGGTCAAAAAATAAATTTGTTGCATCTCTAAGCAATTGATGATTTCTATTTTATTAATTATTGTAATAAATTTGTATTTCTTATAGTGTCAATGACGTTTAAGAAAAAAAACCAACTACCAAGTAAATAGTTAAATAATGTAAAAAAACTATAATTTAAATTGAAA